CCCAAAGTATTGACCACGAACCCATGTAATTTGATATTTCGGTTTCTCAGTGGATAGTTTAACAACTAAATCCGCAGTAATTTGATATGAGTGCTCTGTAGCTAGACTTTCAAAATATTCAGTATAGGTACCCTATATATGGAATTTTTAAATTTTAGAAGTATCTATGACATCCGATTTCTATATAAGTCTAGTTATCACATGATGGAGTATACAATGTTCCGACCATTTTAGACCATGAAAATTGTTGTCAAAGATGGACTAAGTGGTGAAAGTGTATCGAAATATATTGCACCATTTCAGAACCACTGTCCACCGAACGCTGCTGTCAGTGAAGGTGTTCTTTGATGAAAAACACAATTGTATCATGTTTTGTTGTTTGTTGTTGTTGTCTTTGTTTTTGTACGGCTTATTGTCGTTGTTGTGGTTTTCATGCAGTACGGGGCCCCGGCAAATATCATTAATAATTCATTTAATTAACAACACGTTTAGTCCTGTCAACTGGTCGGAGTGGGAATGAACAGATCTGGGAAATGGGAGAAGTGTCGTCCGTCCACAAAGCATAATTAAGAAGTTAAATTGTGTGTGTGTGTGTGTCTGTTTTATTTAATAATTATTTTGTTTTCATTAAAAGTGGCCAATGTAGTTTTTTCCACTTCGATGCCCGGCTGTGATGTGAAGTGATATATAGGGGGTGGGGTTTAGTTCTGTAGTCATTTGATTTTGCCTAGTAGCTAGTAATGGGGGAGAGGGGAAGAAAATACTAAAATGGATTTTTGGATTGATTTAAACGATAGCTGACAATTATTGAATAAATTGAATTTTCTTTTATTAGCGGAGTATTTATAATATTTCAGTACGGATTTTTGGCACCCAAATGATGCAATCCAGAAAACTACCATTATATTCCCACCAATTTAATACAATAACAAGGAAAACGGAAGCTAAATAATAAAAACAAAAATAGCTGTATGGAACTTTTTCAAAACACAGAAAATACTTTATTATAAAAAAACGTTAATATAAGATACACCCATATTAGAAAACCAGTAAGGAAAAGTCAAAAGTCGGGCGGGACCGACTATATGATACCCTACACCACTACAAATTTAGTAGAGCTCCCGAGAGGCATACAAATTCTGAATCGATTTTCACAAAATTTGACGGAGACATTTTTATCTTTTATACCAAAAGAGGGTCTTAAACGCCAAATCGGATGAAACATATATATAGGAGCTATAGCTGTATCTGCTTCTAGACTGAATTCGGTAGGATGTGCCAAAATTACCGTTGTTTGGACTGACGTTGGCCAATTAGTGCACAATTAACCCGCAAGATATATATGGGAACCATATTTAAATTTGAACCAATTTTCACCTATTTCAATAGGGTTCGTCCTTGGGCCAAACAAATATTGTTTGAAAAGTTTCATCTGAATCGGATAATAAAAGCGACCTGCATTTGCATAAATACATAAATAGACTCAGAAAGTGAATCTTTAAAGATCCTCAAAAGTAACTATGGGTCTATCTCGCTTCCTTCTCCGTGTTACAAATAAATGCACAAAGACGTAATACGCTTACCACTAGGTGCTGTAGGGTATAACAAGTAAAAAACATTAAGTTCGGCCGGGCCAAACTTTTAATACCCTCCACCTTAGGGTAAAGGAAACTTTAGAGCCTATTATGGCCCACATATACCAATTTTTTTTTAGATATATTCATGGGAGAATGTGCCAAAAATCATCAAAATTCCGAATATCGGGAGGCACCGTTATATGGGTGCTACACCAAATCGTGGACCTATACATGCAATGTTTCGCCAAAGGAGCTAGAACCCATTATGATCTACAAATGCCAATTTTCAGACAAATCCGTGAAAAAATGTGTCAAAAATCAACAAAATACCGAATATCGGCAGATACCGTTATTTGGGGACTATACCAAAAAGTGGACCTATAATTACAATGTTTCGCCACACGAACTGGGACCGATTATGACCTACAACTACCAATTTTCAGAGAAATTCGTAAAAAAATGTGTCAAAAATCATTAATATTCCGAATATCGGGAGGTACAGTTATATGGGGCCTATACCAAAGCGTGAACTTATACATGTAATGTCTCGCCATACGAACTGGGACCCGTTATGACCTACAAATACCAATTTTCAGACAAATCCGAGAAAAAATGTGGCATAAATCATCAAAATTCCGAATATCGGGAAGTACCGTTATATGGGGACTATACCAAAACGTGAGCCGATATATCTCATTTTCAATACCAACCATCCTAGACACAATACAAATTGTTCTGCTAAATTTTGGCACTCTACGTCAAATAATGTGGGCTGTATCGTGATTTCAATAGACAGACAGACGGACATCGTTAAATCGACTTAGAATTTTATGCTGATTATGAATATATATACTTTATGGGGTCTACGACGAATATTTAAGGGTGTTACAAATGGAATGACAAAGTTAATATACCCTCCTTTCCAAGGTGGAGGTTAAAAAAATGGCAATTTGTAATGAGTTTCGTAAATGCGTATTCTTTTCGAGAATGTGGACCTATAAAGACAATATTCTGCCATAGGAGGTAGCATTTATTCTAAACACCGAATTAAAGTTAATTCCGGTGAAAATGTTGCTATGGCTATGAAAAATATTTTAGTTGTGGAGGTAGTACCTAGAATCACCAAATACTAAATCCGCTGTATGAGAGGTACCGTTATATGGGTGCTATACCTAAATATACAATACCGAACGTCTTAGGAGTACTACAATCATCTATGCCGCATTTTTTCACTTATCGTGAGAACTGTAACCCATGTCTTAATTTCAATAGGTAGGAGGAAAGGACATCTTTAGGAACTTTAAGCTGATTTAGAAGATGTACTTAATGGGATCTCGGGCGAATATTTCAAGATGTTGCAAATGGAATGACAAAGTTAATATACCCTCCATCTTATGAAAGAATTGGTGAGAGAATATATCTGTCTTAAAACCGATTGATTTTGTTCAACTTGATAACACGGTGCAACACAAAAAACAATAGCAGTAAAAATTCGACAGATTATGAAAGTATAGCTAACAAGTAAAAAACATTAAGTTCGGCCGGGCCAAACTTTTAATACCCTCCACCTTAGGGTAAAAGAAACATTAGAAGAAATGTGGCCAAAACTATAAAAATGCCGAATATCGGGAGGTACCGTTATATGGGGGCTATATCAAATCATGGACCCATACATGCAATGTTTCGCCACCGAAGCTGGAACCCATTATGACCAACAAATACCAATTTTCAGACAAATCCGTGAAAAAATGTGGCAAAAATCATCAAAATACCGAATATCGGGAGGTACCTTTATATGGGGGCTATACCACAACGTGGACCTATACATGCAATGTTTTACCACACGCTCAGGGACCCGTTATGACCTACAAATACCAATTTCCAGACAAATCCGAGAAAAAATGTGGCATAAATCATCAAAATTCCGAATATCGGGAAGTACCGTTATATGGGGACTATACCAAAACGTGAGCCGATATATCTCATTTTCAATACCAACCATCCTAGACACAATGCAAATAGCTCTGCTAAATTTTGGTGCTCTACGTCAAATAATGTGGGCTGTATCGTGATTTCAACAGACAGACGGACAGACAGACAGACAGACAGACAGACGGACAGACAGACAGACAGACGGACATCGTTAAATCGACTTAGAATTTTATGCTGATCATGAATATATATACTTTATGGGGTCAAAGACGAATATTTAAGGATGTTACAAACGGAATGACAAAGTTAATATACCCTCCTTTCCAAGGTGGAGGGTATAAAAATTGGAGACATGTCCATATATATCCAAATCTGATGCGATTACAATATAATTTGGCAAATATTTTTTTTTAACATTTCTCATTCCAAATTTGGAGATCAATAGACATGTGCATATCAAATCTAAATTTTTGGGAGGTACCTGCGATTCTGATGGTATATCTGAAGTTCCAAGTGGAATTGAAAAATTTATATAGCCTATATTACTTTCAGGCCATGTTGTAGTATACTTGGAAATTTTCAGGAAAATCTGTGCAGCGATTTTCTAGTCAATTAATTACAAAAAAACAAACATACAAACATTTTCCTTTTTTATAGATATAGAAGAAAGACAATAATAATTCAAACCCTTTGTGGGGAGGTGCTTTATGGAGTGGATATTGTCCATTTTCGCATCTGGCCTAGTACTGATACAAATATTAGGATTTGCAAAGTTGGAGCTATATCGGATTATCTTTTTGTGCAGTAAAATATCTTTTTTTTTTGAAAATTTCGACCTTTTGTGTTGGATGTAGCTCTCTTTGTGGGGAGGTGCTTTATGGAGTGGACCGATATTGCCCATCTCCGAATTCGATCTAAGTTTGGCAATAATATTACGATGTACTAAGTTTGGATGAAATCGGATACTCCCTTCGAGAGTTATCGTGGGCACCACCAGTAAGACGGATAGACAAACAGACGGACGGACATCACGAGATCGACTCTAAATGTCCTGAAACGGATTTGGTCCAAATAAACGTAGGGTCTAAAATAATTATTTCGATGAGGCACGTTTTGGCCGTATCTAGCCATATGACTGAGGGTATAAAAAATAACCAAAAATACCCCTTTGGTGACTTTCATGGCGGCTAAAATTTTTCAACCAAAGTCATCCTCCTATAGTTATCAATAATAAAGACCGATGCACTATGAACCTAAAATGCAGGGGTTCCAAGGAATCTGTATTAGAAAATTTCAAAAAATGTTGAAGAAGGGGAAGCTTGCCTCCTCTGTCACCTTTTTTATGTTTTATTTTCAGAATCTACTCAGTTTCTCATGCAATTTTTCACAGTTTTATTCGGAATTTTGTAATAAAAATACTAGAATGCTATACTGGTTAAATTTTCCATTATCGGGCCCAAGATTGGACAGTATGAAGATTTATTGAAAAATTTAATTCACATTAAAAGCTTGCTCTTGTATTTGAGCTCTAACAAAGAAGAGTATAAATAGCCATACAGCTGCTACAATGTTTTCGGTAACTCCGCTATTATCAAATGATTTTAAAATAACTCCCTGGGGACTCTCTTGCTTTACAAGTTTTTTTATTATCGGTGTATGATCCTTGGCTTCTATATATTCCATTTGCTGGGCCTACAAAAAAAAAAAAAAAAATCTTGAGCCAAGTTAATATGAATTTCAAAATTAAATTAAAAATAATAAACCCTTACAAAATCTATTCCCACTTCAATGGGTGAGATAAAATCGAACCAAGTAACTTCCCTTCGATTGTCGGTGTAACAGGTTGCCCCTTGATATGAATAAAATTGGCTAATGTTTCCATTTATTAGCTCTGCCAACAAGGGAATAGTGTGATTCGGAACAAAAACCACTTCCGACGGAGTCCTTAACATTGGTAAAAGTTGAGAGATTTCGGAGAAAAATCGTAGTCTTGTCTCCTGGACGACCTAAGAGAATAATTCAAAATGTTACTCAGAGAGAAAAATAGAGAGAGAGAGGGAGAGAAAGAGAGAGAGAGATGCATTAAAAAATGCCCTTGTTCACCTTGAAGGGAAACACCATAGCCATGCAGCTGTAATATGGATTTCCTTTGGATTTAATTAATTTCCTATAGTTTATGTGATAAAACAATATGTGCAGTTCAGCTGCAAATGGTGTAGCCTCTTGGCCTTTGGCCGGTTCCAACCAATGCCACAATATCTGCTCCATAGTATAATTGCCATATTCTTGCAATGGTCCTCCATAGGCAATTGGTCGATTATTTTGGTCATATTCTAAGTAAAGTGCCAGATAATCCTCGGTATTCCACATTTCAGCATCAATAGGTTCGGCATCCAAATTCTCAAATGCAAATGCATTGAAGTTATGTCGTTTTACCGTAACATCGCTGTCACGCAAAGGCATTATATGCTTGCCAATACACTCATTCCGCTTTCGAACAACAGCTTTTTGAGAAATAGATTCGAAGTATATATATTTCTTTAGTTTATCGTACATTCGTATCAAATTTTAAAATAAAATGGGGAATCAAATATACCAACAATATATATAGTTAGGATATGTCTAAATTACCTCCCATGTTTTCACCGATCCAAAATAGGAAGAGTAGACCTGCAAAAAATATAATTCATTATATGATTATCAATTAAATGTCTGAAATGTTTCCGAAAAACCACTTGTTATTATTTTTAGAATTAATTTTCATTTTTTATATGTTCCGCTGCTGGTATTGCAAGCTTATGGTGTGTAGTTAAACATACAGGTATTGGAAGGTGTAACGAAAAAGTTTCTGTGCAGCCAATCTATCAGAATCAGAAAAGAATAATTAGATCCTAGGTCTCTTTGGACCAAATCCGTTTCATGACATTTGGAGTCAATCTAGCGATGTCCGTCCGATGGACGGATGATGATGATCCGGGTTTGCTCCAACTTTGCAAATCCTAATATTTGGCGTCAGTGCTAGGTCAGGTGCCGATTGTCAGGAGTCCGATTGTTTTCAAATTACACACATCACAATATTTTTATTAACCCAAGGTCGATCCACTCCGTCAGGTACCTTCCCCATAAAAGGTGGAAATTTTCAAAAAATATTATCTGCGCAGAAAGAAAAACGAGGATCCGAATTTGCTCCAACTTTGCAAATATTTTTATTTGTGTTAGTACTAGGTCAGGTGCGAAAATGGACTATGTCGGTTGACTCCATCAAGTACTTCCCCCGCAAAGGGTCAAAATTTTGAATAATTACAACTCGTAAAAAATGATATTAGAGTCCGATTGTCTTCAAATTTCCCATATCTTAATATTTTTATTAACCCAAGATCTGGTATAAGATGGAATATATCGGTCCAATCCTTCTCGTACCTCCCACACAAGAGGTCAAAATTTGCCAAAAAAAAAAAAAAAAAAAAAAAAAAAAAAAAAAAATTGCACAGAAAAGGAAGCAATAATTCAATTTTTCTCCGACTTTGCAAATCCTAATATTTGCGTCAGGTACGAAAATGGACCAGGTCGGTACACTCCATCACGTACCTCCCCCAAAAAGGGTCAAAATTTTGAATAATTACAACTCTTATAAAATGTGATGTAAGATGGTCTTTAAATTTCACACATCCCAATAATTTTATTAGCCCGAGGTCTGGTGTGAAGATGGAGTATATCGGTCCACTCCTTCTGGTACCTCCCCGACAAATGGTCAAAATTTTCAAAAAAAAAAAAAAAAAAACTGCACAAAAAGGGAAGCAAAAATCCAATTTTGCTCCAACTTTGCATATCCTAATATTTGCATCAGTGCTCGGTCAGGTGCGAAAATGGCCAATATCGGTCCACTCCATCAAGTACCTCCCCCACAAATGGTCAACATTTTGAATAATTATAACTCATATAAATTGTGATGTTAGAGACTGATTATGTTCAAATTTCACACATCCTAATATTTTTATGAACCCAAGATCTGGTATTAAGACGAAATATATCGGACCTTTCCTTCTGGTACGCCCCTACAAAGGGGGTAATTTTGAATATTCATGGAGCTAATAGAACGCGAAATTGACATCCGATTCCATCCATTGAAGTAGATTGATAAAATTTTACTCAAATGTATGTTATGTCTGCAGGACTTTTGGTATTGGGCCATGTAGGCACATGTTTTGGTATAGCCCCCATTTTGATGATTTTAGCGACATGATTCAACAGAATTGTTTCAAATTTGGTATTTGAAGTTCGAAATGGATATTACAGCATAAGACAGAAAATTGTCTGTGCAGGTCAAGGTCTTCGTATACATTATTCACCGTTTATTTCAATTTTCGATATTGAATATGGTAATGGCTTATTACAACAATGCCTATGTAGGTTCACGTTGTATAGACCCCAATAGAACGGCTTTATTCAGTATTTTTAAGATTTAAAAAGAATTTGTAAGCGACTTCATTTTTTCAAAATTTCCAATTCGTTCAAATTCAAAGTTCGACGCGGCCGAAATTACCACTTTTCAACTTGTTTACTTGTGTTCTTTTTTTAATTTCCCTCATACAGTTACCACGTTTTTTGCTGGGATGTGTTAACCAAAATTTCAGTTCTCGGCGGTTGGTCGGCCATGGCTATATCGATATTAAACTTTACACGGATGTACATATACATTACAAATAATTTTTGACACCAAAAAAATATGTTTTCAATAGTTCCGTACGGAATGACTATGTATTTAAATAATCTCCCATACGATGGTGAATGTTAACTTTTGTTTGGTTTACATTTCCGGTTAAGACTTTTATAATTAGAAAAGAAACCTTAAAAATCACACGAACTTACAAAATATTTGTAATATTCTCATTGTAGAAATTATTCCGAACTCGCTTATGTGTGCGTATGTAAATATGGATGACAGGTATAAATACTGAATACCCTACAACACTATAATAAACCATACAGTTTATATAGGCGAAATACTAGACAGAATTCCACAAGATATTGTGACAAATAATTAAAGAAAACCATAAGGATTCGTTCTCTAATTTTCGAATAATAGCAACTTAAACGAATTTGCTTATTTCCAATTTATTGGTAGATGTCGCAAATGGTCTTCCTAGATTTGGAACCAATATTTCCCAAAGACCTATAATCTCTCAGAAGTGGCAAAATATTAACATTTATTATTGGTTTTTGACTGAAACGCATCTATATGAGATACAGACATTTGGCTATATTCTTCAACGAAATAGTCAGAAGTGCGTCTTTCCTGTATTTGTGAATTCTCCAAAAAGTCACTGCAATGGGCATTTTCGTATTTTGTCTACAAAAGTTGGCAAACTATTTCACACATTGAATATTTTTGGATGGCCATCTGAAACTGCTTGGCTTTTGCAATGTGCGGTAACCCCCATTCAAATGTGCGTGAGGATCGGGCAATAATTATGACCTGCAGACAATTTTGCAATTTTTTGGTCCATTTGAACCCCTAAATATATGGCGATCATCTCCAACCTCATCTTATCCCTCATCTTATCCCCATGCGAAATTTCGTAAGGATCGGGCCATAAATGCGATCTGTTTATGATATCCTGAAATCCTAACTACTTAGTTTTGTTAGCTGTAAAAATATTACCAAATGTTTAATTCAAAATGAAAATATGCCAAAAATATGACAAAAATTGAAAAAATATGAGAAAATGTTACAAAATCAATATTTTCATCTTTAAAGAGATATTTTTATGCGATTTTTTTAAACGTTTTTTATTTCCTGCCAAGAGGCCATTCTGAATTATAAGAGATCTTTCAAGCATATCTTCTTTATATGGCACATATTTTGCTATATATCCGATTTGTTGGATGTTAACATCAATGTAAAGATCAGAAGTGAGCTTGTCATGGCTTTGTGATTTCGCCGGGATTTAAAATATTCGCGATTTAATGAAAAATTTAGAATTTGTTCAACACAAAAGATATGGTCTATTTTACCCGCTAAATATTATCCGATGACCACCCAAATTGGTAGGCTTCTTCCCCGCCCTAAACTCTAGCTACATACGAAATTCCGCGTCGATTGGTCTATAATTGCGACAGGTATAGCTACTGCAAAATCCGACATTTTTTCAGTATTTGGTCCATTTCAACCCCTAAACATTTGGCGATCATCTCCAAAAATAATAGGGTTCTATTCTGGTCCAAGCCCCACCTACATTCTAAATTTCGTGAAGATCGGGCCATAATTGCGACTTGTAGAGTCATTACAAATTAACATGGACAGACGGACGGACATACATAGCTAGATCGACTCAGCTCGGCGAGCTAGGAAGATCCATATATACTTTCCTATGTGGGAAATCAATATTTCGAGGTGTTACATAATTGTTGGCCCAATCAAACTTATAATACCCCCAACACATAGTGTTGTAGGGTATAAATATTATATTTAACAAGTAAGCAAAGGCTACAGTCGAGCGGGGCCGACCGTTGAATACCCTACAACACTATAATAAACGATACAGTTTATATAGCCGAGATACTCGAAAGAATTCCACAAGATATTGTGACAAATAATAAAAGAAAACCATCAGGTTTCGTTCTCTAATTTTCGAATAATATCAACTTAAACTAATTTGCTCATTTCCAATTTATTGGTACATCTACCACGTAAATGGTCTTCCTAGATCTGGAACCAATATTTCCCAAAGACCTATGATCTTTCAGAAGTGGCAAAAGATTAACATTTATTATTGGTTTTTGACTAAAACGCATCTATATGAGATACAGACATTTGACTATATTCTTCAACGAAATCAGCGTTAACGAAATAGTAAGAAGTGAATTCTCCAAAAAGTCACTGGAATGGACATTTTCGTATTTTGTCTACAAAAGTTGGCAAACTCCTTCATACATTGAATATTTTTGGATGGCCATTCAAAACTGCTTGGCTTTTGCAATGTCCGGTAACCCCCATTCAAATGTGCGTGAGGATCGGGCGATAATTACGACCTGCTGACAATTTTGCAGTTTTTTGGTCCATTTCAACCCCTAAATATATGGCGATCATCTCCAAAGAGAGTAGGCTTCTATTCTGACCCTCATCTTATCCCCATGCAAAATTTCGTAAGGATCGGGCCATAAATGAGATCTGTATATGATATCCTGATATCCTAACTACTTAGTTTTGTTAGCTGTAGAAATATTACCAAATGTTTAATTCAAAATGAAAATATGCCAAAAATATGACAAAATTGAAAAAATATGAGAAAATTTTACAAAATCAATATTTTCATCTTTAGAGAGATATTTTTATGCGATTTTTTTGACGTTTTTTTTTTCCTGCCAAGAGACCATTCTGAATTAATGAGAACTGTCGAAATCAGTTCAGCCGTTCTCGACATATAAGAGATTTTTCAAGCATATCTTCTTTGATAAACATA